CCCACATCTCATTTTTAAGGGATAACCTGCTTTAAAGGATAGTCCTATCAAGTGTTTAAGTGTTTGCTCGTTTTCTGCTCGTTTGGGATTATCCTGATTAAGGGGAAGCGGGGAGAATGGTGGTTAATGTTTCTTAGGGATGCATTTTTTTTTTTTGCAGTGCAGAAGTTGATTAACCAAAAAGAATCTCTAAATTAAAAGTATCTCGAATTAAGGTTTCCCAGAAGCATCGTACTCTTGTGGCATTAAAATACACYTAAATTCCAAAGATCGTTTAATGAATGAAAGAGAATCAATGATTTTACAGATTAAAATGTGCTAAGGGAGCTACATTTCAGCATTTGGCTCTGCCTCTATCATTGTGAGTTGTTGTGAATAACTGGTTTGTGTGTGGGACCTTTCCAGCCAGGTTTGGAGATGGATTATATGACTCCTATATGAGGATAGATGAGTGTAGATACCAAGAGTCTGCAAATGAAGAACGGAGCCCTTCAGGACTTCCTTCTCTTTCAAGACCTCATGTGAGTATTTTAAAATCATCAGTGTCTTCACATTGTGTTGTGTGGCAGTGAGAACCATCCAGGAGTCAGATGCATTCTCTATAGAGAATAAATTTTAAAAGTGCGATTTTGCAGCTTTATAGCAGTTTCTTAACATTATTGTTTTTCCTGAGCATAAAAACGATGTGCTGTGTTCACTGCAGAGCTTGCTGGCAGCCTCAGGAATCCCATCTTACTGCCCTGAGCTCGTGTTTTAATCAAAAAAAAGTTACTTTACAAAGGGCTGAAGCGTTCTGCCGTGTCACCTTGTACTCTGATAAGTAAATCCACACACGCTTTGCTCTGCCTCCTCCTGCACGTTTCCATTTTCGTTTCCCTCATGAAAATTCCGATGGATAAGTACGTAGGAGCAGCAGAAGGAGCAGTGTGAGTCTGTGTGGCTGCCAAAYGTCTCACAAAAGTATCTTTCTGCGCTGAAAACTTGGGCATTATCTGTCACTTCTTTTGCTACCAAAATAGCTCTTTATGAACTGAAGGTGTTACCAGGCTTTTTCATCAGGGCTGTGATCCCTCAGCAGATGTGGAGTTGGAGATTTTTTTTCCTTTAATTGGTTCAGTAGTGGTCATGTTCAGCTGTACTTTTGTAGAGTGATCCATCCTTTAGATGSGTTTTAAATGTGTTTTGGCTCTTGTTGAGTTTTGGCAGAAGGAAAGGAGGTTAAAAAAAAAAAAACCTCTCACTCTCTAAAAAGTGAAAATAGACATTTCATACTCATGCATAGAGTAAGATGCATTTAAAAATCATCACCTTGTGGGATTTTKTTGTAGCAGATATTCATAATTAGTTTGGTCTGTGCAAAGTCAGGGGCGTGAGCCTGGGGTGGTTTTTTTCCCTTTTTGGCAATGTTGAGGGGGAGCAGAAGGAATTTGGAGTTTTGTTGAGCAGTAGGGTTTGAAGAGTAATGGGTTGGGGCTTTTTTTTTGTTTGCTGGGATGTGGAAACCTTTCAACAGCAGTGTTTTAGTGTGACTTCATTTGTTCATAACTGCACACAAGTCAGTAGAGTGGARCTACCCAGTGAAATACAAATGTAGCTCCATGAATATTTTGTTTGACTGGTGTATCTTGTTTACATCTATGTTTTGTCCCTGAAGCCTGTTAACTTCTTAGGGCAAGATTAAGGATTTATAGCCTGTCTGGTTTGCATGATGATACATCAATAAAATCCCACCTCAATGGAATTGAGCAAGCAGGAGCTGAGGCACAACATGCAATGCTAAAAATGGTGATGTTCAATTTTAATGGGAAAATACCTGGATTTTCAGTTTCCTTCTTGCAAGATTTTTTATTATGATGTAATGTTACGTGAGAATGGAGGAGTCCTGGTGACTGCAGCTGCCCATTCCTTCATCTGAGCTGCAAGAGACCATGAAGTGTCTCAGCTTGGAGAATATATGGATGGAATTCAGTCTGTTTAATTCAGTGTTCAGAAAATCTCTGAAAACCAGTTGTGTAGGAATTGGATTAACTGTTTCCTTGTCAATGAAAATGAAGTTTTGTGAGTGAGAGTTTTCAACAGGGTGCCACYGGTGTTGTCAGCCTCATTTCTTGCCTGCAGCAATAAAACCAAAAGCCTGGGGAGCCTGTGATTTGTAAAATAAAGCTGTTGAAAGAAAGCTGGTGTTACCCAGGAGTCATCTGACTTTGAGTGCAGCTCTTCTGGGTTCAAGTGAAGATGGAGCTATATTTGTGTCTCACCATCATGTGGCAACTGATTTTGGGAGTCCTCTAAGAATGAAAATTGAGACCTTACTACCGTTGAGTCAGGTTTGAAATCCAAAGCCATAATTCCTTCATTAAGAAATCGTTCCAGGATAAATGGAATCATGAATTCCTTGGTTATTTAGGGATTCAAAGGTACAAAATGTTTGCTATGAGCAGCRGCAAGAGCAGAGCTGCTGTTGCTCTTGCATATGGAGTATTTAAACAAGTGTGACCCTAGTTCTGTGTTTATATGCTCTATTTATTTGTAAACTTGCTGTTTGGGACTGCTGGACTGAAGAGGCTTTGAGCCAGCTCTGAAAAAATGTCATTCTTATCACAGAGGTTCAGCCAGACTCCAAGAAAAAGGCGTTTATTCCRCATTACCAGGGCTGGGCTCTGTTGTTTTTATTTAAGACTCTGGCAAGGCGTGTCCCTTCCAGTKCACTGCATTTTGGGGTTGATAGGAGCAGTGCTACTTTGTAGGATCTACCCGTGTTGATAAGGACTGACTTCTGCAGGAAATGCCCATTTTTTGGGGCTTGTGAGCAAGAACTAACATTTCAGGGCAGCACCAATAAASAGGCTCTTTTATGAGCTGTGTGTAGTTGGTTTTGGAGAGAACATTCACTTCCCTTATTTGCTGACCATGTCGAGATGTTGGGCTGGATGTAACTAAAAAGGAATTTGGTTTTATTGCTGTGGGGCTGCAGGTTTATTTATATTTTTTGTTTGATTCCTGTGTAGTTATTTTGGTTTTCAGGGATTCGGTTTGGCATGTGTCTGAAATCTTTATTTTTAGATTAAAGGACAAAATGGAAAACAGATGTTTGTACTYCAGTCAGGGCTTCTTCAATTCTGCATGGGACGAGGCAACACCTCTGTGCTGCCTCTCAGCAAGGASTGCCAGCAAGCAGAAAAGGGAGGAACTGCTGTGCTAGTGGGGAACTGACCTCAGGGGAGTTCAGCRTTTACTAAATTGTAAAAATTGACAAGCTTGGAGAATTTCACAGTGTTTTTCTCACCTTGTATGGGTTTGTTTCGGATGTAAATATTTTAACACATGGTGGGAAGAGGGAGTATTTGCAGTCTGCTCTCAGCTCAGTTGGAGTGGGAGGTGTTCTTGATTATTYCAAGCTTCCAAGTCTGTGTTAAGATCGTTGTGCAGCTCTCTCTTCCCTCTGGTGACCAGTGACWGGATCCAAGAGAATKGCTGGAGCTGTGTCAGTGGGGTTTAGGTTGAACAGCAGGGAAAKGTTCTTGCCCCAGAGGGTGCTGGGCACTGCCCAGGTTCCCCAGGGAGTGGGCACAGCCCCAAGGCTGCCAGAGCTCCAGGACAGCACTCTCAGGGACAGGGTGGGATTTTGGGCTGTCCTGTGCACAGCCAGGAGTTGCACTCGATGGCTTTTGTGGGTCTTTTCCAGCTCAGGACGTTCTGTGATTCCACCATGATTTCAAAGGGAATTGTGGATATGAAGATGTTTTCCCCATTGAAATTCAAACCCCACAATTAATTATTTTTTGTTCTAAAGGCTGGTTTACCTTGCCTTGCCCTGTCATCCTTCTGCTCCTGGTGCAGCTGGGCCACACCAGCCATATGTCACCTGCTGGAGTTGCTTTGTCTTCCTTTGGCAGCTCCTCTGTGCAATATTCCTGCCAAGTCTCTGCACGTCCACGTTACATTCCCTGCTCCAGACAGGTGCAAGTTGCATCTGTCAATGGTTGTGCTGCTTCACCCACGTTTGAAGCTAAACATAGCTGTTCCCTGGCTCTTTGCAGACTAGAGATAGGTATTTCGTGGTTGTTGGAGTCTTGGGCKGTCTAGGGTTTCCCTTTCTGGATTTAAAAGCACAAGGGCTGTTTCAGTGARTTGCTTTCTCTTTGTGTAACTTTAATCCAGTACTTTATATTTATTCCCAATAAATGCCCAACTCATTGATGTTACTGATTTCGTGTTGGTGTTGGTTTTATTCTCAGACTATGCTTTAAAAGATAAACTCAAGTCCTTCTTTGTTCCTTTAGGTTTCTATCAACAAACTCATGATGAAGGATCACCCTCTGACTGGAAATCAGGTCAAAGTGGAGCAGTTATTTGAGGACTCTGGCAACAGAAGGAGCAGTGCTCTTCAGTCTGCAGGACTTACTTCAGAAAGACCTCTCCCTTCCTTGACAAAAGATAAAACCCTAGAGGGCCTGAATTCTAGGGGCAATGGAAGCTCCTTCAAAGCRCCTAAAGTGGTTTCCCAAGCTCCAGAGCAAGCTGTCAAACAGTTCAAACATCAGTTATCAGCTTAYGAGCAGCAGGAGATCTTCAGTTTCTCCGAGATTTACTTTGTGGGTCCGACTGCAAAAAAGAGGCAGGGGGTCATCGGGGGCCCCAACAACAGTGGCTACGATGATGACCAAGGCAGCTACATCCACGTGCCCCACGACCACCTTGCCTACAGGTATGAAGTGCTCAAAATCATTGGMAAGGGCAGTTTTGGGCAAGTTGCCAAAGTCTACGACCACAAACTCCAGCAACACCTGGCCTTAAAGATGGTTCGCAATGAGAAGAGGTTCCACCGCCAAGCTGCCGAGGAGATCAGGATACTGGAGCACCTGAAGAAGCAGGATAAAACAGGCAGTATGAATGTTATCCACATGCTGGAAAGCTTCACCTTTCGGAACCACATCTGCATGACCTTTGAACTCTTGAGTATGAACCTGTATGAGCTGATTAAAAGGAATAAGTTTCAGGGCTTCAGCCTCCAGCTGGTTCGGAAGTTTGCTCACTCCATCTTGCAGTGTTTGGATGCCCTTTATAAAAACAAAATCATCCACTGTGACTTGAAGCCGGAAAATATCCTCCTAAAACAGCAAGGGAGGAGTGGAATCAAGGTGATAGATTTTGGGTCCAGCTGTTTTGAGCACCAAAGAGTCTACACTTACATCCAGTCCCGGTTTTATCGGGCGCCAGAGGTGATCCTGGGRAGCCGCTATGGGATGCCCATAGACATGTGGAGTTTTGGCTGTATTCTGGTGGAGCTTTTAACTGGCTACCCTCTCTTTCCCGGAGAGGACGAGGGAGACCAACTGGCCTGCATGATGGAACTTCTTGGTATGCCACCTCAGAAGCTTTTGGATCAATCCAAACGAGCCAAGAACTTCATCAACTCCAAGGGTCACCCCCGTTACTGCACGGTGACGACGCAGCCGGACGGGAAGGTGACCCTGAGCGGGAGCCGCTCGCGCCGGGGCAAAGTGCGGGGTGCCCCAGGGAACAAGGACTGGGTGACGGCTCTGAAGGGCTGTGATGACCCCTTGTTCATAGGTTTCCTGAAGGAATGCCTCAGTTGGGATCCTGCWGCACGCATGATTCCCAGCCAGGCCCTGCGGCACCCCTGGATTTGTAAACGGGTGCCCAGAGCAGCCAGCATGGAGAAAAGCTCCGGCAGACGGATTTCCAGCTATTCCGGTTCCTTCCAAGGGATTGGAAGCAAGTTGCCTCCYGTGGCTGGAGTCTCCAGCAAGCTGAGGGCCAGTCTGGCTGCTGASCCCAATGGCAGCATCCCTCTGTGTACTGTGCTCCCCAAACTGGTCAGCTAGTGGGGAGCGCTGGGTTCCCAGGATCCACCCCTCGTGGGTGTCCATGCCATGGGGTGAAATCAAATGCAGAGGGTTTTAATGGATTTACTTTTTTTTTTAGAGGCACAGTCTTGAATATTGGAAGAGCAGTCCAAAATGTACACATCAAGGGCTAACTTTTATCCAGTTGCTTCACTCACACCTGGTGCTTTTTCCATCGCTGAGGGTTCAGCTCAGCTGRGGGGTACAGGGACAGTTTGGCAGATGTGCTGTTTCAAAATGCTGGTTTAGAAATCAAACCATTTCTTATCATGGTTTAACAGGTTTTTTTTTTTCTTAAGACAGGAAGGAAACTTGATTTAAACTCCATGTTTTTAGTTATCTCCAGCTGAACTCCTTTTGTTCCAGGAAAAGTTTTTAAATCTCTTTTAAAAGCACAAATGCATTAATGTAATGCATTAGGAACTTTACCTGCAAATTGCTTAAGTTTGAAGAATTTTATTTCTCTGCATTGCTTTTCCCTTATCTATCCTGGGATTTAAAAAAATGTCATGGGATGTAGACACCAAAGGAATTGGTTATTGGAAAAGAAAATACTCAGATGATAAAATTTCAAAGGAGGGTAGAAATGCCATGAAACACAGGATATAGCTAAATGAAACTACTAATTTCTGTAACACTTGCTATTTTCCCCTAAAATCTATGGAAAACTTGTAAGGGGATTTGGGATCAGGCCTGGTCCATCACGAGAATTTGGGATCAGGCCTGGTCCATCACAAGTGTGAGCCAGTTTGTTCAGGTAATGATTGAATTATTCTGTTTCTTTGGAGCTCAGATTTCCATCATCAGTTCAGCCAGGTGCATGTGTCTTTGTTTTTCCTGTGTTTCTAAAACAAAAAAATGTTGAACTTCCAAGAGCTGGTTTATATCCATGTTTGAGATTCTGGTAATTGCAAAAAAAAAATTATCTCTTTGTGTAGAGTGAATTCCATTGAATTACATGAAGCTCTTTTAATAAAAATGCAAACATGCCACCCCTGTCAGAAAAGTAAAACTTTTTCAGGCCCARGGCTGTGCTGGAAAATGAGGGAGGGGGGAACACACAGATAAATCTCAGTCTGGGGCAACATTACCAGGGAAGACTCATAAGGTACAGAAGYAGCAGATCCAAATGAAAATATTGAATGGGAAGCGTGGCTTTATTTCGAATTGCCTTCCTTCAGGCCTTTGGGTGCCTGCATTTCCTCATTCTTGAGCTACATGAGCTTGAATTTGCTCTTCCTTTATCTTCCCAGAACACTGCAGGGTGGTGTGACCTGTCACAGCCACAGCACAGCTTGTTGGGGTTGTTCCTTCTTGCAGCCTCGTGGCTCCAGAACCATCTGATCCCTTGCCAAGTGCCTGAACACGACTYTAAATGCAATTTAGAGCTTTTATGAAGAGAAGGTTTTACATTTAATGGCTTTCTCTGCAGCAGGTTTTGAATGSTAAAGGAGGGAGGCTCTCAGTGTGCAAACAGAGGAGGTACCAGGGTGATTTTTAAGATAAGGTGAGCAAATGTTCAGTAGTGGTACATCCCCTACGGGGATGGGGCTGCATTTTGGCCTCTCTGGGTAATTGCAGCACTGCTGAAATGCTGGGTGGAGCCTGCAGAAAACCTCAAAAAGACACAGCCAAAATACTCCAAAGGACTTTAAACTGAGGTTCCCAGGAGCTGAAATTGTGTGGAGCTTTTCTGAGTTGTTTTGTTTTACAAGTGTCAATTCAATGAGCTCGGTAATGATATTAAAATAACAGTCTGGCCTTTCTCCGTGCTGCCAGCAGTGGATGGGCTGCTCATGGGTCACTTAAAACAACACACAGTCAGTATTTTTTATTTGGCTTGGCTGAGTGAAGTTTTATTTGAATGAAGAACCACGGAGGTGGATTCTGGGGGGAAGTGGCAGAAGATACCATCGAATTTAGTAGAATCTCATAGATTTGGCACCTTTTCAGAAACCAGAAATCTTTTTGTTCCTTGTCTGCTCTCTGCATTTCCTTTTAACAAAACATGCCTGGGGAGTGAGGAGAAAGGAACCTTTCRAGTGGGAAAGTTGCATGGAAAAGTATTTTCTATAGAGAATATAAGGTGATGGTGGGGATGAAGCCTGGCAGAAGGAGCAGAGTTGGTGAGCTGGGAGATGTAAAAACAGGGCCCAGGGTCTAAATAATTTTGTCTATAAGGTGCTAAGGTAGGAGAATAAAAATTAATAATAATAATAATAATAATAATAATAATAATAATAATAATAATAATAATGATAATAAAGAGTCTGACATCTGGGAAGAAGTCACTGTGAGGGAACTCCTGCTGTGGCAGCCTCTGGTGCACACACAGAAATCTTGCTGGAGGCTGGGGCTGTGAAGCTGCAGATAAAGTAATTAACTGGCAAAACCATGGCTTTTCATCTAGAAAATGTGTTCAGCGTGCMCTGACTGCACAAAGTGCCTGTGTTTGTTTTAGGCTGGGTTTTACTTACTCGGGACCACTATATTTGAAAATCAAATGTGTATTTAAGTGAATTGCTAATTTGGGTGAGCAGGAAAAGCAGCCTCAGCAGATATTTCCTGAGTTGAAAACCTCTTCCTAACCCAGGAGACGTGGCTGAGGATACTGGGGTCTTGTTTCCAGTCACTAATCCCAATTTCTTCATTGATAATTTGCTTTTGGGAATTGGAGCAGGAGTTTTSCAGCCCCAGGTGGGGGTTGCACCCTGGGCTGTGTCGCTGTCATTTATCAGGGGYGGTGACAGTCCCGGTGTCTGTGCTCCCCAGATATGGCAAAACCTCCAAGTCACACTTGTTTTTGGGAAAGCCAAACATTGGGGAGGTCTGAAATCACCAGAACCCATCCCTGTCGTTCATTCTGCTGCTGCTGAGAATGCTGAAAGCAGCCTAAAATTAAAAATGTCTGAATAGGTTCAGAGCAGCTTTTATTTTTGTGGTAACTTTGCTTTGTTGATCTGCCAGCACTAGAACCTGAGTCATGTTCTGCTCAGAAGTTCCCACAAAACACATGCAAATCACTGGTGTTTACAGCATATCAAGCATTGCATTTCTAAGAGTCACCCAAACTTGTTTTAAAACGTTCCTCATGTTTTCCTGCCCTGTGAGAGAGAGGTGTAAATAACAACTGCTCGTTGTCTGCAGTTCCACCTGTTTGGCTCAGCGAGATTTTTATATAAATCATTGTAAGGGCATGAGCAGCACACCTGAAATACCCAACCCCAAATCTAGAGATCTTCTGGGTACAACAGACACTTCTCACTGGTGGTTTTTATCCTCCCAGMCAGCTGGAATGGGAATCCTGGTTGACCAGTGACCTAAGAATTCGCAGCAGATAATTAGATTTAATATGACTTTTGTGGAAGAGTGTGTTGCTTACGATCTTTTTTACCTGTTAGGATTTTCACACAGTTGAAAACTTTTTATGCAGCTGCAGAACTCCTTTGCAATGCTCATCTTCAAAACTACCTCTCAAAACACGGGGTCCTTTTTTCAAGAGCTGCTCACTGCAGGCTGCAGCTCTCCTGGTTTTTTTGTTTTTTTTTCTTGTTTAATTCTGATGGCTGTTCTGGCTGTGAAACGTATATATGATGATCTCAGCAATGTCTTGCTAATCCCAGGCACACAAGCAAAAGGCTGATGCTGCACCCAGAGATCTCTGCTGAAATGATACAAATCCCCTTGCCTGCCAAAGTTGAATTCCGTTGTGGAAGTGGAGAGCCAAAATAATATGGAAAGATCTGCGGAACTTGTGCGCGGCACCAGCTGAGATTGAAAACAAACCGTGCTCAAAGAYTTTAATGAAAAATCCTGTGGTTTCTGCTCGGGGCTGTGGGTGCCTGGCAGGTTTGGGGACAGTGGGATTTTATATTGGTGCTTCTCAGAATCCTGGAATCACTGAGGCTGCAAAAGCCCTCCAGGATCATCGATCCCAAACTGTGCCCGATCCCAGCTCATCACCCAAACCTATATCCTGGACGCCTCCAGGGATGGGGACCCCAAATCTCCCTGGCAGCCCCTTCCCAGGCCGGGCCACCCTTTCCATGAGGAAATTCCCGCTGATGTCCACCCTGAGCCTCCCCTGGCCCAGCCTGAGGCCGTTCCCTCTCCTCCTGTCCYTGTTCCTGGGATCAGATCCCAAATCCCCCCCGGCTGCCCCCTCCTGTCAGGGAGTTGTGCAGAGCCACAAGGTCACAGGCATCACTCGATTTTTATTTTTTTTTTTTTATTATTTTAACAAAGGTTTGTAGAAATAAATAAATACACCTCCAACATCCCATCMGAGAGCCCTCGTGTTCTGAAACACCAAGGAAGCGTTCCAGCTCTGTAATTCCCCCTGTGCCGGGTGAAATCCCTGGCTCCTCATGGAGAGCTGATTGTTTTCCTGGATTTTTTATTCCAAATGAGTTCCTAGAGGGGCTGGCAGGGTCTGTGCTGCCCCAGAGCCCCCACGCACAACACTCAGGGTTTTACCATCCTCCATCTGCCTCGCTGCAGCTGAGTTCCTCTTCAGGGGTTCTTAAATGCTCAAACTAAATATCAGCGTCCACAGAAACTGCAGGTTTGCCTTTTTATTATGAATATTGTGATGAGGTGTAAAAGGGTGGGGGAATGTGGATATAAACTCGCTGTGGAGGAACATTCTGGAAAGCAGTCAGTCTCAAAGYGTATCTCAATGTAATGAGCAGATTTCTTAAAGCTGTACTTTGGGTCATTTTTAAAAGAAAATAAACACATCGTTTTCTTTAGCAATCCAGTGTGCAAATTCCTACAAGTCTTTGATAAAAAAAAAAAAAAAAAAAAAGAAGAAGAAGAAAAAAAAGGTAATAATTACTTCCAGATGGTGGAACTCACCTTGTGCTGGCAGACAGCACCTCCTGTGGCATCTGCCTGGAGAGGGGAGAAAATTGTCACTGTGTGAGTGGGAGGTTTTTGTGTCTGTGCTGAACGTGAGAATCTCTGGTCTGACAAATGTTCCTCTCGTTAACAGCGCTGTAATTAGAACACACCARAGTTTTGCCATGACATTCTTCAGTTGTCACTTTCTTATTCAGCYCACTAGAGAGCTTTTTAAAGCCCAGAATCCTGCTTATCCCCAGGCTGGAAGGAGAAATCCAGTAATAGCCACTTAGGGAAGATTTGCTTTTATTAGAAACCTATAAATGGGGAACTTACTGTACACAAGTGGATATTGGGATGGTTGGAAGATGAAATCACGCTGCAAGAAAAGGGTTCCAGCTACGACCTGTGTGATTCAACCACATGTGTTACACACACTGAGTGTGCAGACAGCACTGAATGAATTTTTTTCCTTCTTTTAATATGGCTGAACAGCAAATATGTGATTTTTTTTTTAAAGTTTGCAAACTGAAAATAGTAAAAAAAATTAGGTGGACATTGAGATGTCTTTATATATATATGTACACACATATATATATGGGACTCTGAGAAGGGCTGAGTGGCATTTTCTCAAGCACAGCACCTCAGATTAGAAAAATGAGCTTATCTGCTCTGCTTGTGATGCTTGTTGGTGTAACCTGATAAGGGATTGTCTCACCAATTCTGCTGTCTGAGCTGCACCGAGGGGAAACTGTGCTTGGTGCCAGCTGAGGAGCTGCGAAATTCAACACCAAAGCTGTGCCAGCCTTCCTGCCTGGCAAAATCGTGCTGAGGGGTGTTGGGAAAAGCTGCAGCTGCTTAAAAATAGGGGCAGAAACCTGGAATCTGTCACTCTTGTGGTGTATTCCAATTCTTATTAATTGTTGCAGTGACAGGATAAGAGGGAAAGGCTTCAAACTGGAAAAGGGTAGGGTTAGATTGGATATTAGAGGAAAATTCTTCACTGAGGGTGGGGTTGCTCATCCCTGGAAATGTCCAGGGTYGGGTTGGACGGGGCTKGGAACAGCCTGGGACAGTGGAAGGTGCCCCTGGCAGGGGTTGTGTGAACCAAAGAGGAGAATTTTGCCCCTRATTAGGTTTTCTTTAAGCATCAATGAACAAACTCAGCGTGCTGCTGTTGGGATGATTCATCTGCTGGGTTTTACAAGCTCAGTTCTCGTGGCAYAGCCGAGGAGTGAATGGAAGGCAGCTTTGGGTTTGTTTCCTTTCCTCTTGTCCAGTCAGCCTAACGGGCTTTGCAAACGCTTTTTGGGACAACCACAGATTCTCAGAAACGCCTTTCCCTCCAAGATTTCTCCCCTCACTTGGATTTTAAGCGCAAAACCCAGGAACAAAGCACGAATTGCCGACCGGACTCGTTCCTGCGGTCCCACCCCTCTCTCCTTGGTGTTTATAGGGTAATGATAAATGGGATCTCCGGGTGCCGATGCAGCCAGCTGTGCCCGGAGACATCTGGGGAAAGCTGAACTTATAAGGAGCCGGAGGAGAGTTTGGGATTCGGCTCCGGGGAGTGGCGGGGAGATGGCATTGTTGGCACCGGCAGCTTTTCCCCCCCTACTCCGCYTCTCCCCGACAGGCGGATTTAAATAATTGCTCCTTAAGTGCGCCCCGGCTTGTTTCCTTTGTCTGAAATAGCGGCCCGAATTARCGCTGCCCATTCTTGAGCGCTGAGAGGAGCTTTCCAAAGCCCYTGGCAGAGCGGCGGAGCCATGTAAGGGTTTGCATTCCTGGAATTGCTCTGGAATTCGGCTTTACGAGCCCGCCGGTATCGCCGGGGATTGTTTTCCTGGGCTAGTGGGCTGGAGGTGGGAAGGCAGAGGCCGTGATTACAATGATGAAGTGTAATTAAGCATTGCTAAGAAGGGATTGAAGGCAATAAAGCGCACGGCTGATTAGCCCACGGAATGGACKGGTGGAGGGAGCGGTGACACAAAMCGGGCTGGATTTCATAGGAATTCCTTCCATTTTAATGGTGTTGTGAGAACACCTCAGCTGCGGTGCCGTGGGTGAGGGGGATGTGAGCAAGGGGCTCTCCAGATGAGAAATAACTCAGCCCTGGGTGGTTTTTTGGCTGTGAAGCAGCTGCTGAGGGCGTGGAAATGCAAGAAATCCTAACCAAGGAGCTGCTGGGAGAGTGGRGGTTGGCTGCTGTGGCCTTCGTGGTGGGCACCCCGTGAGGATGATCCTTTAGGGCAGGGAAAAGAATTGGATAAAGGATTTTCACCCTGGCACACTCAGCAGGAGCCTCAGAGCTCGTTCTGATATCGGTAAAAAAGGACAAGAGGCCAAAAGAAGGATTTTACTC